AAGTAGATTTCATGTGCCAGATGCTTCTTGAAAGGAATCAAAGGGAAAACTTAAATTCCAGTTAATAGTTTTGAATATAGATTAGTATGGAAAATTTCCAGCTTGGAAAAGTTTCCACAAGAACAAATACATGTATTCTCTGGTAGGATAAAGTATTCTTTGAAAGCTGTGTCATTCCTGCAATAATCTAATTGTAAAAATAAAAGCTTTTGAGTTGCAACATTTATAATAATTGTACGCACTGTATGGTGTTTGCAGAATGTATTTACATATCAGCAGTTTAACTGCATTTTGTTGGAGAGGAAGTTGGTGAAGTCTTCTTTTTTTATCAGTGATTGTGTGTTTTTTAGCTCTATGCTGTTTTGGGTGGTACAAAATTAAAAATGTGGATTTGTCATGCTGAGAGAGTCATCCCACTCTGTCGTAAAAAATTGTACTCTGAATTGTGCTTAAAGTAATCAGCAGTAATTAATAATCTGGTGAGGGAAGAGACTGTTTAGGGAGATTGAGTGAAGATAGGTTTTAAGAGTTGTGACTGTTTAAGGTTGAAGTTTGATACATTTTGATTTGATGTGCATTCAATAAAGTAATAATGTCATTTAAATGATGTTTACTTTCTAATACATTCCTCGGTTTGTTCATGTCCATTCAGTACACTGTAAACTGTCATTTTACAAATCACACAATATAACAAAAGAACCCCTGTACACACCAATCATTATCTATCCATTATCTAAGAGCAAGCAAGATGGTTTGGATTGGATACCAATTGAAGCAGCTTCGTCAAGTTTTGAGTTGAAACAAAGCGAATGGAAGTCAGATCAGACTGGTCAAAACCAGTTCCAACAAGAACTAGAATAGATAAATAATTGAACATGTTCTATGGTACTGCCAGTGAAGTTCACAGCATGTTGATGAGCCCTTTGCCTTGTTTAGCCTGAGTGGATCTGCTTGCAACCGGTTCAGACTGGTTTGTACTTGCTGCTGTCTGACATCACCAGCCAACCCAGAGGTGGGAATGTTTCTGTAATAACAAATGATGAGGTACACTTTGTTTGGTTTGGAGAAAAGAAAATGTTTTGTGTCAGAGATTTACATCTGAAGATTATGATTTGCACATTGAAGAATTTTCCATCAAAATTCCTAAAAACTCAAGGATTTCTTAGAACAGGGGCATATCGGGAGCAGTAAAAAAGTGAAGCATTTGTGAAAAGAGTAAAATGTTTGGCTGCTGTGAAAGGTAGCTTCACCGGAAGAAAAACGAAA